ATTAATTTCAGGAAGGCAAGTTTGGCATTTACCAATATGTTTTTTTTTTTATCATAACAGGGGGAAAAGTGTAGCGGGGGGGGGGGGGGGCTTGGCTGTACCATCTGTCAATGGGGGCGCTGTTCAAATCGGTCATATAGGTAATAAATTGTCAATTTTTTTATTTGTTTTGCTCAGAACAGGGGGAGGGGGGTCAACTCACAAATCCCCCCTCCCAGATCCGCACCTCGTTTTCCAATTTTTCTTCTACGCTGCATGGATCAAAAAGCCAGAGAAGTAAGCATATCTATTTGAACTGCTGTAAATACCTCTGCCACCGCTGCCAAACTCAAGCCAGACTCTGTCTCCCGTAGCCAAGATAAGGACTGCCGAATTGCTGGACTGGTGGTGATAATTGCTATGACTGTCATGAATCGAAAAGACAACCTCACCGTTCTTTTTTAGCAGTACATGAGGCCGCGTTGCTGTGCTTAAACTAAGAAAACTGGTCGTGAAAAAGTAGACTCCGGGTTGTGAGCATGTAAACACGCCCGACTGCGAATCGTACCTGTCTCCGATATTCGTCATGATGTTGTCAAAGATGATGACATCGCCAGTGCTACCGGTGACACTTGCTGTGCGGTAAGCGCTGAATGCGACGGCAGAGGGCGCTGTTGGTGTCACAAGGGTAGCTTCTCCCGGTTGTCCCTTCTGCCCCGTTTCACCCGGGGGACCTTGCGGTCCCTCGAGCCCTGGCTCCCCCTGGTCACCTTTCTGCCCCTCACCGATGTCTCCTTTGCGACCTACAGGTCCCAGCTTCCCCGAAGGTCCCTTCACCCCTGGCTCGCCTTGATCCCCCTTCCGTCCCTGTTCGCCGATCTCTCCCTTGGGTCCAGGGAGGCCATACCCGGGGTCACCTTTGGGGCCAATAGGTCCTTGAACCCCAATTCCCCCCGGATTTCCTGGGATCCCAGGTACCCCAGGGTGGCCTGGAAGGCAAGCACTGCAGCAACTTGATGGGCCTGTTGGTTGTCCTGTAGTCTCCGAATCACGTTGACAGTGACTGCTTGATATCAGCAGCATTACAACCATCGAAAGAACAGAATGCTTAGGTCTGACCTGTTAAATCATGAAAATTAAATAAATTTTGCTTTACTAAATATGCGATCAATTCTAAACGACGACTTGCCCACAAATTAAGTACAGCTAACCAGCCAATTGGCCTATCAAGCCAAAATGAAACTACAATTTCCGAATTATTTGCAGCCCGACAACACTTCAGGCGTAGGCATATCTTTTTTGGGGTACGTTATTAGTATGGGCGTAGGCCTGAAAGCATCCCAGAATAAAAACGTATTTTCAGAGGGTTGAAAAATTGGAAAAACAGTTGCAGAAGGCCGGCCTAAACAAAATCGAATATGTTGAAGAGTACGGAACGAGAAACCTCAAATGTGGCCGTTAATTATCATTGGGTCAATGGGCTTTTCAAGGGGAATGCAGCCACAATCTGCTTCGGCACCGGTGTAGCATGAATTTAGGTTTTATGAAATACGGACTGATTGGTGTTATTGCGCATGCTCATTCATAGATAATTAGGAGAGGGACTGGTCACGTGAGAGGGTTTAACCAATAAAAGGGGAAAAGAGTCCGATTTTCATACGAGTCCGATTTTCATATGACACCGGCACCCACAATAAGCTTGCTGTATCCACCAAAGCGCTTGTGTCAGTGTGTAAACGGAATGATTCTTGGACTATACCATTAAAAACTTCCCATTAAAAAAGTATCTGTCGAGAGCCATGAATGGGAATTAAAAGGGAACACTTATTTAATGAAACTAGAATTTGATCAAACAAGCTTAAAGACAGAAACTTAACATTTTGTGCAAAAGGGAAAAAGGGAGCTTACTGGCATTAACCACTCGGCTGCTTTGCTTCGTCTCAAATCAAATGATATAGATTTTACAATCACATGAATTTTTTTTCACGTATGCAAATTGGTAACCGTTTTTACTTGGTTTGCAAAGGAAAAAACTCGCCGTGCACCAGGCCTTTTGCTTTCATGCTCAAGTGAAAAATAAACCAAAAAGAGATGTCAAATAGTTTAGGAGTAGAAAGTTGCACAAAATTATGTTTCTAAGAAAAATTCATTTCATGGACCCTTTAAATGCATTTTTTACTCTGAAAAAGTAATAGTGATTATCACTCTAAATCGTCTGGTCCCTCTATACGTAGTTAACGTTGGCCAATTTCTTTTTCGTTCGATGTCTCATTCAAGAGTAAAATGCACGTAATTTTGCATTCGTAATGGAAAAAAGGCGATTTTAAAAAGAAATCTATTTTGCGGGGTGAAACTTTAATCTAGCAAAAGCAACCATCTTTAAAAACGGACAAGATCTTACCGTCAATGCCATTTCTGTCGCTCTAATCAGGTGAGCTCAGTAGTTGAACTTTTTTCTCGCAGACAAGTTTCTAGTTTGACTGGTCTGCTTGCTGCTCCTTTGGATTTAACCTTTGAGAAGATCGAGTTGAGATTTTATACAAACTGTGGTGGATGTTAAAATGTCAAACCAGCCCGAGGCATAATGTTTGATCTTTGAAAATCCGGGTCGCGAAGGAAGTTCTCGCCGTGACATTTTACTGAAATAAATCAGTCACCTCTTGGCTTATCTATCCAAAAGGTAACTTTTTTTTTTACTTGAAAAGGAAATACGTTGGTGCAATTAAAATCAAAATGAAAAAAGTTTGAACTTTCAAGATCCGGCTTATAAACGTTTGAACTTTAAAAATCCAGGATATGGAGGAAGTTCATGTCGTGACGTTTTACTAAAATTCGGTCTGTGACTTCTTGGCATATCTATTCCCAAGGTATAAAAAATGAAAAGGAAATACGTCGGTGTAGGCCTAATCAAAGATAAAATGAGAAAGTTTGAACTTTCAAATTCCGGCTTCTAAGCGCTTGAACTTAAAACATCCAGGGCATGGAGGATATTCTCGTAGTGACATTTACTGAATTCGGTCAGCACCCTAAGTCAGTCTAGAGAGGAGGGAAACGACGTGCTGAAATGCTGATGACCGCGCAGTACTCAGTCTCCACCAAATGTTATAATACAGACGTGACGTCACACAGGCGTTGTCTCATTTCCTTTTTCTTTGGGGAAGGGTATCTTGTAAGACTGTAAAATTCCATGTCATCTATGCATTTTTTTTCTATACATGTCTTAATGTGTGATGGGAATTATTTGTTAGTGGACAAACTGTGGGAAATACATCGTCTGCTTTTGTGAATTTTACAGTCTTACAAGACACCTTTCCCCAAATGACATGGAATTTGAGCGGAAAACAAGTTAAGTTAGGCCTACTCGGATTAATTGTTAAAAACATTGCTGTTAATACCAATTGCTTCAGTGAACATTACTACTGTCAGATACTTTGATTCAGTGTGGTCGGTGTTAGTTTGTCGGTGTTAGTTCAATGACTAATGGTGGAATGTCATTCTCATTCTCAGAGTTGAATTTTGAAGTCTTGAAAGGAAATGGCAAAGCTGCCCAATATCGTAAGGAGACTCAGCTACAGTCTTTGCTGTTTCGTGACAACCAAGCCTGTTTTCATTTCAACGTGTTTTTCACTTTTAAAGTTTACTCTAAATTCATCACCATCACCCCTGCCAAGTTTAGGGTATTATCCGATAGTGTTATAATTTAACTTGGTTGCTCAATTCGAACGAACTTGGATTTAGATATTGATGACGATGAATTTGATTATGAGGTCAGTTCATACTCGGCGCGACAGCGAACGCGAATTTGTGAAGTCAAGGCAAGTTTTGCGCTACGAATTCGCAAATGGACAACAACCGACTGTGCATGGGCGGGCAGGGGCATCGCTCTAGGGACTGGAAATCATGGAACGGGTGTCAAACACTCCCCCTCATTATTAGTTTTTGTCGGCAAAATCGTCATCCTGTCGGCAAAATCGTCATCCTGTCGGCAAAAATAAATGTGCCGACATGTAAGCTGCAATTGATATATAGGGCCACACAATATTATCCGATACCAGTATTGTCCAGTCTCGTCCACTTTAGTTCCCCATTAGTGATTATGGAGTCCAGCTTTCCCTTGGTTTTGGGGCAGTCGGGTGATCAGGGGAAACAAAACTTTGCTACCTACCAGCACGGAGAGGTAGGTCTGTCGGTTATTTTACTGACGCCACCTCCCATTTCAATGGATTGCTGAGCAGACAGTAATATTGCTTGTGGAGTACTGTGGCCTCGTGGTTAAGGGCACTGATTCGTGGTCTGCGGCCAGCTAAAGGTTGTGGGGTTCGTGGTCTGCGGCCAGCTGCAGGTTGTGGGGTTCGAGTCCTGGCGGAGTCATGGTGCGTGTGCCCTTGGGCAAGGCACTTTGTCACTCATTGCTTCTCTCCACCCAGGAGTAAATGGGTACCTGTGAGGACAGAGATGGTTATTGTGATTGATTAGCTTCCTTGCGCCTAACAGGCTGCATCGAGCTGTATACTCCCCAGGGAGCTGAGATGGTATTTGGAATGTTTCATGTGCCCAGTGAGCAGGGGTAATAATGATGTAGCGCCTTGAGCACCAGTCTTGGTGGATACGTGCGCTTTATAAATATCCACTATTATTGTTGCCAACTGCAAAACATAAATCTGCCGAGGACTAGTTCCAAGCGGCAGTCTATATCGGACGACCGTTGACCGATAACGCTTTTTTGGGCATGTAAATATTTTCTCTGTGAAGAGCAAACTTTCGTGCTTATTATCTCCATGAAATCGACCCCTGCTGCCTGATTGGTCCAAGAAGGGTTACTTTTATTTGTTTATTTTTTGACAGGGGTGGCGGTGGCGATGGTGGCAGGCCTGTATTTGAATAAAAGAAAGTATATTTAAAGGGGACACTGTTATCAGATACTGAATTGAATAGTTTATTTACTGAATGAAGAAAGTAGAAGCAAAAAACATTATCGACTTGTCACACAGCTCACACCTCCACACGGTGCCTATGTCATATCATGCAATAAAATATGTAATTTTTATTACCTAAATCAGGCTAACTGATACAGGCTACGTCAAATTACAACTACACGTAACAGTATTAGTTCAGTGCAAAAAAAAGCGTTTCTCATTTTTATTGCAAACGCCCATGTATATGCAGCTTCAACAATAAGGTATACATTGCTTTTGATTAGGATCAACATAACTGTAGTCTTGGTGCAAGACGCAACGGTTACTATCTGGTACGTCTTGTTTCGCGTCTCATGTTTGAGGGATACTTGCGTTTTGTAACTGTCATCGACAGAGGGCGCACTAAGTACTGGCGCTACACTATTTTGATAAACTGAATTGCGTAAGCCGTGAATTGAAAAAGTACAATGAGCTGGATTCCTATCAGAGATAGGAGAAAAACCACTCAAAATCAATATGGTAGAGTCCTGAGTGAAGAGAGAAAAATATTTAAAAACATTCGAAGGTCTTTGAACCAAGACTACATAAACTGCTGCTGTTGAAGTTAATTCAAAAACAAATATTTCAGCTTTTTATAATAATGTATTTTTTTCTACGGACACATGTGGCACCAGCAAAACTGTGAGAATGTATCAATGTTACAAGCTTGATTTGGCTCTTGGAAAAATTCAAATGAGTTTGCTTTACACTGAGTTGCGTTTTATCGTAGGGTTCATAAAGTCAGAGAAGTAAAAAGAAATACCTGGTGGAACTGCTGTGAATACTTCTTTCATTATTGCGGAACTGAAGTAATTAGTAATTTCATGAAAGCTAGCTTTGCATTTACTAGTTTATAACCATATATTGACTGGGGAGAAAGTGTAGCCAAGAATCGAAGGGTCAGAATAGAACGGACACGGTGATTACAGGTTTCTCAGATTTTTGCTTTACACTGCATGGATCAAAAAGCCAGAGAAGTAAGCATATCTATCTGCATTGCTGAAAATACCTGTGCCACCGCTGCCAAACTCAAGCCAGACTCTGTCTCCCGTAGCCAAGATAAGGACTGCCGAATTGCTGGACTGGTGGTGATAACTGTTATGGTTGTCATAGATCGAAAAAATAAGATCACCGTTCTTTTTTAGCTTTACAAGAGGCCGCGTTGCTGAGTTTATACTAAGAAAACTGGTTGTGAAAAAGTAGACTCCAGGTTGTGCGCATGTAAACACACCCGACTGCGAATCGTACCTGTCTCCGATATTCGTCATGATGCTGTCAAAGATGATGACATCGCCAGTGCTACCGGTGACACGTGACGTTCGGTAAGCGCTGAATGCGACGGCAGAGGGCGCTGTGGGTGTCACAAGGGTAGCTTCTCCCGGTTGGCCCCTCTGCCCCGTTTCACCCGCGGGACCTTGCGGACCCGCGGGACCTTGCGGTCCCTCGAGCCCTGGCTCCCCCTGGTCACCTTTCTGTCCCTCACCGATGTCTCCCTTGCGACCCGCAGGTCCCAGCTTCCCCAAAGGTCCCTCCACCCCTGGCTCGCCTTGATCCCCCTTCCGTCCCTGTTCGCCGATCTCTCCCTTGGGTCCAGGGAGGCCATACACGGGGTCACCTTTGGGTCCTTGAACTCCGATTCCCCCCGGATTTCCTGGGATCCCAGGTACCCCAGGGTGGCCTGGGAGGCAAGCACTGCAGCAACTTGATGAGCCTGTTGGTTGTCCTGTAGTCTCCGAATCACGTTGACAGTGACTGCTTGATATCAGCAGCATTACAATCATCGGAAGAACAGAATGTTCACGTCTGACCTATTATTTGGAAAACCAGATATTGTTTGTTTGGCTTAATAAATATGCAATCAAGGATAAATTCTAAACAAGGACAGCTCTCCACTCGACTAGCTAACTGATTGGCTGTCGACCACCTTGCCAGCCATTCGAGCTCTCAAGCTAAGTGGCCTACATCAACTACACTTTTCGGATTATTTGCAGCCCGGCAATAATTCAAGCTAGATTTACACGAGTCACTGATTTTTGTGACTCGAGTCGGACTCAAGTCCAGTCATTGCCTCAAGTCATTACAACTCTGATTCAAGCCAATCTTTTCTGTGCGTTATGGGAGCAAAGGCAACCCAAAATAAAAGCGTATTCTCAGAAGGTTAAAAAAAATAGGGCAGGTACGTGCATTTTACTTTTACTAGTAATAAAAACATACACATTTGAAATTCGTTATGAGAAAAAGTGGAATGTGCTAAAGATTTCGGAATATGTTGAAGAGTAGGCCTAAGGAAAGAGAAGAAACCCTAAATGTGGCCGTAAATTATCGCTGGGTCAATGGGCTTTCAAAGGGAATGCACCCACAATCCGCCTGGGCACCAACAATAAGCTTGCCCCCACCAAGGCGATTGTGACAGTGCTAAACGGAATGATTCTTGGACTACCCCATTAAAAACTTCCCATTGAAACATTACATTTTGTGCAGAGCCACTTATGAAACGGAAATAAAAGGGAACATTTATTTATTGAAACTAGGATTTGATCAATCAAGCTTAAAGAAAGAAAACTAACATTTTGTGTAAAAGGGCAAAAAGGTTAGCTTGCTGGCATTAACCACTCTGCCACATTGCTTCGTTTCAAATCAAGTGACATGATATATTTGTTTAATCATGACGTTTCACCCATGGCAAGCGTTTCTACTTGGTTTGCCGAAGAAAACGCTCGCCGCGTGCCGCGCCTTTTACTTTCATGCTCAATAGTCTAAGAACCAGACGTTCACGTTTAGCAGAGCCTCACAACGAACGTCGAAGTCGTTTGAAATAGAAATTCGGCCAATGCTGTTGACTGGTCAATATAGCTGTCATGTTTTTGTCGTAAAACAACGATTTTTTTTATAGCGAATTTTTAGGTTGCATGTTCATTTTAATTCTATTTTAGTGACTGCAACCCTCTGGGGGAAAAAAGTTTTTTAGTTTGGGTTGTCTTTGCATGCGTAGGGTCGGGAACCTGTCTACCGTGTGAGAACAGGATCATTTGCGGGCTGCAAATAATTCGAATTTGTATTAGCTCTCTTATTTCCAAAGACTGAAAATTCACTCTATTCAAGTGAAACTAGGACAAGACAATAAAGAGCATGAAATGCATTCAGTTGCACTGTTTTCGAGTCTTCACTCGAGTTTCGACTGAAGTGATCCTTTTAAAGGGAATGTACAACATTTGCTTTCGGCATGCAATTTTCTTAAATAATTGGATTTGGAGGATTAGTATGTTATAGCAAATATTGTTACACTGACTTGTTTCACGTTTTGGGTTCGTAGATGCTGGAAAAACCAAGAAAACCAAACATATTCTTGTTGTCTGGTTCCCTGAACCCACTTAAGATGAAACGGAGCAATTTATAGACTTTGGGGAATTGTAGGATCAGAGAAACAGTCTAGCAGGCTGGTAGCCCTTCACATGTGTGTAATCAATTGCAAAGAAAATGCAGACAAACTAAATATGAAAAAGTAGGTGCACTTTTTGAAAAAAGCCAGTTTTCTCCAACGCTGGTCGGCCGACCAGCGTTGGAAAAATACAAGTTTTTTTCTCGAAAATGTCAGCGCATCAGGAGCCACAACTTTACAGGATGCTTTAGACTGTCATTCCCTACCAATCCAGTAAGGTATTTCGTGATAATTTGATCATTTCGTGTTTTGATGTTTGCAAATGTTGTATCTTCCCTTTAAAAGCATTTCTTTTAAAAGCATTTCACTCTAAATCGCCTGGTCCTTCCATAAGTTAACATTGGCCAAACTATTTTCGTTCGATATGTAATTCAAGTCATCTTTAGTCATCTTTAAAAAAATCAAATCTTATTTTAAAAGCAATTCAATATGAAAAGGTAGAGTAAATTTCACTCTACTCTCTAATTCCAAAGAGTGAAAATTATTCACTCCATTCGAGTGAAGATTGACTCCCACAGTCGGAAACTAGGGACTAGACGTTTTGGAGTCAAAGTTCTTCAATCGTAAAGATCGAGTTTTCACTCGAGCTTTGACTGAAGAGGTTTATTTTGCAGACTTTTTCAATAGAAAATGAGAGTGATTTTTACTCTAAAACGTCTAGTCCTTAATTTCACTCTTTGGAATTTAGAGAGTACGTCTAGCAAAAGCAATCATCTACAAAAACTGACGAAATCTTACCGTCAATGCCATTGCTGTCGTTCTAATCAGGTGAGCTCAGTAGTTGAACTAGTTGGGTTTTTTTCGCAGACAACTTTCTAGTTTGACTGATCTGCTTGCTGCTCCTCCTTTGGATTTAACCTCTGAGAAGAGTGAGTTGAGATTTTATACACACTGTGGTAGAGGCAAAAAATGTCAAACCGGTCTATTAATGTTTGATCTTTTAAAATCCGGGTCGTGAAGGAAGTTCTCCAGATGACATTTGACTGAATTCAGTCAGTGACATATTGGCTTATCTAGTCAAAGGAGTCATATAATTTAATAAAAATTCAACAGGAAATACGTTGGTGCAATTAAAGTTAAAATGAGAAATTTTGAACTTTCAAGATCCGACTTGTAAAGGTTTGAACTTTCAAAATCCAGGATATGGAGGAAGTTCGCGTGGTGACATTATGACTGAATTCGGTCAGTGATTACTTGGCTTATCCGTCCAAAAGGTGAAATAAATTTCACAAAAAAATTAAAAAGGAAATACGTAGGTGCAATTAAAGTTAAAAAGAGAAAGTTTGAACTTTCAAGATCCGACTTGTAAAAGGTTTGAACTCTAAACATCCAGGGCATGGAAGATATTCTCGTGGTGACATTTATTGAATTCGGTCAGCACCCCAAAGCCAGTCCAGAGGGTTGGAGGGAAACGACACACTGAAACGCTTAGGCCTATGATAGTCTAGGGGCTAGACGTTGGTTTAGTTTGATGAGCGATAACCCGCCACTGCGATAACCCGCCGCCACGAGAGGGCGTTATCACGACCAACCAATATCATCCACGAACCGTACGAACCGTACAAACCGTCAACGTCTAAGCCAATTCCTAAAATCTCCCCCCCCCCCCCAAAAAAAAAAAAAAATGGGGAAAACTAGAGCGCATGCGCGACTTGTGCAGGCAATTACGGTCCATTTTCAGTCCCACACAAGAGCTGACCAGTGAAAGTTGCACAAAAGACTTGCTGCATCTTTTATATTACTGGAAGAAATTTGAGAGGTTGCCGTGGAACTACTATGATAATTGTTATGGCGCTACCTGCACCGGCCTACATTGTTCTTTTGCCACGAGCTTCGCATAATGCGAGTTTGCTCAGTCTTTAAAATACTTTGTTGCATAACGCTTATTTCTCTGTGTGTTATGAAAGGGATGGGCTCCGGGCACGCGGGGTCTGTGTCCCCATGGTGTCCCTCAACGTGCCGTCGGGTTGCTCGGGCCCACGAAGCTGTATTCGAACAAGTTGTTAAATTGTTTGAGTTGTTTTAATTAAAGACAGTTGGTTTTGTTCTGCAAACCTGTCTTCAACTGTCTATCTGTTCGTGGTGTCGATCCCCTTTGGAGTGTGACGGCCATGCCGTGCCGCGCTGCCACACAGCCATAACAATAAATGGTGCGCGCGCATTACACAACCATGGCCTAGACGTTAATACTGACGGATCGTGGATGATATTGGTTGGTCGTGATAACGCCCTCTCGCGGCTGCGGTTTAAACATTTTGTGAGCAGAGGTTGCTCATTGGCATACTGCCATGAACTGACACAACAACGAATGACAAAAGGTTACACAATTTGCGACAGCGAAATATCCAAAATTCTGTCAACCTCACTAACTCAAAAAAGAGATTTGTCACATGGTGCTATCGTAACACATGTTATTCCTATGATCATCATGCAAACCTTCAAGCATTATTGTTTAATATAGTATCGTTGGTATACACCTCCCTCCAGAAAATAAGCTCTAGCGCCCTCATCCTGGAGCCCAGTTATGCCATTTGGTAGGCCTATGTGCGCATCTGAACTCGAACTTTATTGGGCAGATTTCCCAGCCCATAATGTCATTATTAAATTTGGAAGTCTTGAAAGGAAATGGCATTAATGCCATGACATTAATGTCGTATTAAAGGAAACTCAGCTACAGTCTTTGCTGTTTCGTGACAACCAAACCTGTTCTGGGTAATTTTCAGTGTTGTAGTCGAGACCGGATAGTCCGAGACCGAGACCAAGACCGAGACCTGAAGTTGCGAGACCGAGACCGAGACCGAGACTAGCCCCTTCAAGGCGGACCGAGACCGAGACCGAAGTGGTCCGAGACCGAGACCGAGACCGCGGATAATAAATAACAATAATCTAAATAAACAATAAGACACTAATTACAGCTGAACAGTCTGTCCTTGAGATGTTGATGATCATGGGGATGTGAAAGAAGTGATTGAAAGATAGGAATCACTTGTACCTGCTTAATTGTGTCATGCGAGTGCTCTGTCACAATCAATTAAAAGAAATTGGAAACAACCTAATTTAAAGAAGGGGAAAACCTTATTTGATGAACTCCATATATTTTTGCCACTTTTTAAAAAATATATTTTTTTTTTAAATATTGTTTGACTACTATAAAGTGTAAATCTGATGAAAAAACTCTAACTTAGGAGTACGACAATTTGTACTAGTTTTTACAAAACTTAAACATGTTGAAACTTGACAAAAGTAAAAAGTTAAAGGTGGATGTTTCATCCGTTATAGGAACTCGGACCCTAAACTCCACAGCCACCCCTTGGTTTCAGCAATGACCACTAACGGATATTTAAATGCAACTTTAATATTACATTGGACCTCCTTGTAAACCTGATTCGAAAAAAATTTGGAGCAAGAAAATATTGATTTATTTTTTAAAATTTCAGTCATGGAATATAGATTTGTACATGTAGACCAAAAAATTGAGAGATGGTAGCCAGATATGGATTGGTCTGCCCCCCCCCATCCCTCTTTGTGATTCTCCTTCCAACCCTGCATGTTTGTGTGTCCCCTACATGTTTGTTTCTTGTTCCTCTGTCATTTACCTCTGAAGAAGGCCTGGCTAAGGCTGAAATGTAATGCCACTTTATTTTTGTTTAATGTCAATACATATACTATTGATGAACCATATTTGCCTGATCTATCTTTTGCCCGCCGTCATCATCGTCATTAGCCTATTTGAGAATATGGCCGACACAATAGAAGGGCGCTGTCACAAACTGAATGTGGTGGGTAAGATGTACTTTAGGATGGATGAGATGTACTTTTAGGATTCATGGCTCAGTGCCCACGCCTCTCTGTGTTTTGTACCGTCAAGGGCGGATCCATGCCCCCCCCCAAAAAAACGAAACCATTTTTTTTTTTTTACGTGACATCGCAATAAAGGCAGGCAATGAGTACACCACCATCTTTTCCTCAAAATAAATTGGTTAAAGTGGTCGGAAATTGCCTCAGATCGCACCACAGAGCATCTAGAATCCAAAAATTTTTTGGGGCCCTTAAGCGGGCCCCGAACCCACTTTTTTGGGGGACCAAAATTTTTTTTGCCCCCCCCCAAAAAATTGTGTTCTGGATCCGCCCTTGTGTACCGTGCCATCGTATCGCCCACATCAGCTACTTTGCTGGGAAATTTACTTGAATATTTTAGTGATTAACAAGTACGACATGTTGCCAATTTATTAATAGTTTATTGTGATGGCCGTAAACAGCATATAGCGATTAATGGAACACAATTCGTCTCGACTCATGCAAATGCAATTGACATTTAGGAAGGAGACAAGGCAGGCAATTAGACTCTATTTTGGTGTGTACATGGCAGTAGCTCAATTTGTGTTTATCACAGATGAAAAGATGAATACATGGCGAGTCAAAAAGAAAGTGACCGTATGAAACAAAAATGGCACTCTCCATTTTGTAGAAAATATAATTGGGATAAAGAATATGTTATTGAGTAGTAACTGTGAACATTGCACGTAATTTGCACGTAAAGTCGTGTCTATTTTAATAAAGATATCACAAAATTCAGCTGTCAACCACTAATACCAATTAAACGGTCTACAAATTGATGAATATCCATTAATAAATATAATGAAAAAAACAAACGTTTTCCCGCCTCCACGAATAAAGGAAAAATTGAAAAGGAAAATAGAAAAAAATCACCAATATTTCTAGTGAAAAAGAGTTGAATTGTTCCCCATATTCAAAATACAAAATCTGACGGTAAAAATAATGTTTCAGTCTTGATTCATAAGATTAAAATCTCAGTTGTATTTGGAATCAATGAAGATGGCTATAAAGTGCTTGTTTCAACAGATCATCCCACAATAAAAACGAGAAATATAAGAAGAGGAGCAATGGTTATTGGACTATGCCTCACTCACTAGAAAGTGAAGAGAGACATGTCCATTAGCATCACACTGCAGTCACATTTGCCCTAAACTGATTCTTTACTTAGACCTAACCCTAAAAGGGCCGGGGGCGGAATCCAACCCCCTCACTTTTTGGCTGGTCTCGACTCGAGACCAGCCAAAATATCGAGACCAAAGGGGACCGAGACCGAGACCAAGACCGAGACCACAGCTCCCGAGACCGAGACCGAGACCGAGACCGAGACCGGCAAAAAGTGGTCTCGAGACCGAGACCGAGACCGAGACCTACAACACTGGTAATTTTCCCCTTAATTATACAGTTTATTCTAAATTAATCATCATCATCATCCCTGCCAACTTTCAAGAGGACATTATCCGATAGTGTTGTAATTTTATTCGGCTGTTCAATTATAGTAAACAGAGCGTAGAAAGCCATTACTTACTTCTTTATATAAAGGTAACCTGGATTTAGATATTGATGGCGATGAATCTGATATAAGGTCGGTTCATACTCGGCTTTATACATACTTCGACATACTTCGCTTCATACTCAAATTTCGCAGCGACCGTTTCCCAACGCTCGCTTCGCATTCGCGGGAACACACATGTTTACGTTACATACCTATTGTGGACATTCCTTTGTTTTTGTGTATAGTTAAGAAAAACCTGTAGAAAAAACTCATTGTACTCACACTGTGAAAACTCATTCAACCCATTTTTTTCTATGATTCCCTTGAGTGTTTCTCTTCATTTTGCGACCAATAAACCTAACCCCAAAATGCCTCTAAACCTGTTTTCAAGAAAGGGGGAAACACTGTGTGGACGTGGGCAAGTCCACACAACGTCGCTGCTACCTGTTAAATCGTCCCCCTGTCGGCAAAATCGTACATCTGTCGGCATAGCTGCAATTAATAGAGCCATGCACATAATTATCCGATACCAGTATTGTCCAGTCTCGTCCACTTTGAACAGTTCCCCCGCTGTTCGCTATATATGATGTCCAGCTCCCCCTCCCGCGTCCTCTTGATTTTGGAGAAGTCGGGTGATCGGGAACTTTATTGGCTGCCTTCCAGCACGAATCGG